CAGTACAAATTGGTACAAGGAATTTACTTAATTAGTAATTGCAAAATATGATTTTCGGACTTTGATAAATGTTTTTGTGTACGTTTATATGTATGTATGTTTAACACAGAGTACCCAATTTATGTGCATAAACTTGAATGTCGTTATTTTTCAAAGTAATAAGAAAAGATTTCTAAATATATATTAAAAAGGACATATTTAAATATCATATTTGTTAAAAGAAAGAATCTTAATAAAATGCGATTATATATGTCATTAAATCGGGCACTCTGTACGTATTCTATATAAAACAAATATATTGAGCGAGATACGCACGAACACTGTTGTCAATGGTTGTAGTTATTTAAAAGTCGTTCGGAAAATTGCGTAATATTTAATACAATTATTACTATTATTATGTTATTATTATTATCATTATTGTATTATTTATCGATATGTAAATTATTTATTGTTACTTTGCATTCCAACACACCAAGTTTGAAATATGCCTCAACCTTGACGATGCTCTTTTACTGCAGAATTTTATCTTTTATTTATAATACTTTGTTATATTGTTACATTATTATTAATAGATAGAATCTTCAATAATGGAATTCTATAGTAATTAAAGAAAGACATTTCTATTGTTAAATCTTTTTTATTTGATTAATACGTTTTTCAATGCAAAATTAAATATTTGTTATTACATTTAAACATGTACCAGTAAGTTGTAAATGATCTTTTTAAAAAAAGGAATTTTAAATTAGCATCGTCAAAGCGAACTTTTTAAACATCTTTATATGAGACACTGCGTGTTCATCATATTCTTGCTCGAATATACGAGAGTGAAGTAATAGCAAATGTTTCTTGCTATAGTTTTCTATATCTAGCAAAGAAGTAAAAAAGTAAAAATGCCATACATTAGATCGTGAAGAAATAACGTTTTTAATGTAGTTATATAGTTATATTCCCATTAATGTAATAAAAGAAACAAAAACACAAAATATATGATCTTAACTGTTTAAAAACTATTCTATCTAGTTATGCTAAAATTAATGGAATTTATTCTCAAAATAGCAATACACTAAAGATATATGAATAATAAAAAATGACATTAATTAGATTTTGTTTTTGTTTATACTCATACTCATACTCATTTGTAATTCTCTTTTAGAGATGATTGATTTCTTAACGATCTAAATTGTATGTATAAAATGTTTTATGAAAGAATTTTTTAAAGAATACCTTCACTTTTAATTAAATTTGTTGATTTGATAGTTTTCAATCTTCATAAAAATATAATGTTCACAGCGTAATTATAAATTATTGAATTATTATAGCATTTGATAATAGTGAAATCTAAAAAAAGAAGAAAATATATGGCTCTTCACTGTTTAATTTCTTTGTATATTATGATTGTATAAATTAATGTTAACATGTATAGGAAGGCCATGAGACTTAATCAATTTAAAAATAAATTAATGTCACTATTTTAAGTAACATTTTGACTTGTATTTTAAAATTTACTGAAAATTAAAAAAAGTTTTAATTTCTTATTATACTCGTGTAATATCAACATGTGAAGAAGCCATTCATTTTTCTATTTATATGTTTTGCTGATTAATCAATCAATTCTATTTTATTAACTAGTTAAATTTTGTTTAATTGATCTGAATGTACGAATTATCATAAATTAATTGTAACTGAATTTTACTTAATCTAGGCTTGACTTACATAACTGTTAAATTATCATTAGTTTCTGTAACATACTGATTTACTAGAAAAAATTTATAATTGTGATTTAACTTTTAGTATTTATACAGTTATTTGGATCTGCTTCATATTGAATTTGTACTATAATTAATTTATACTTTGACTATAAAAAATGATCTACATGTATCTTGCATGATGTTAAATATTATTTAAAATAACTCTAACTTAAAATAATATGTTAAAATAGTTAATTGAGAACAAATGTTTCTTAATATAAACAATTTAAAATGCATACTATCAATTCAAAACATTATATCATTTAACATTGTATATAAAACATTTAGAAATATGGCAAATAATATAGATGACAGATTTGGTAATCCTGTAACTTAATCAAAAATGGACCAGAAACATTGAACTGTACGCCTTTACACTGTGATCATATTTACAAAGAAAATGTAATGTTAAAACTGCTTAAATGTAAAGGTATTTTCTCTGGCTTTGCGAAAATATGATGAATACTGCATAAAAATGTTTTCCATACATTTAAAGAAATGCCTTAGAATTATTCATACCATCCTTATTAACGTTTACTTTTCCAAAAAGTGATTCATGTACAATTTATGAACATAGGAGTATATTTAAAGATATAATGGTGAAAAAAATAAAAATTGTTGATATTACTACAGCTGTGGTATAATGGGTACAATTAAAATATATTATTATTATGTATACAATATACATGTTTTGAAAAAAGAAAATTCGTTTAAAATATTTAAATATTTTTACATTTCTAATATATCTTTTAACTGGATTAGTATATGTATTATATGTTTCATACTATTTAAAGTTAGTTTGCTATTCACATGAGTGGGGGGCGGACGAAACGTTAAAAAGGAGCAGATAGTACTATGGCGGTAAATTATTGGGCGTTGTTCTTAACACCTGTTGCTTTTTCTTGGTTTTATAATTTGAATCAGTTCTTGATTTAAAGTTAAAGCAAGTTCAAGAGTATTTATACGCTCTAACTTAAATCATGATACAGTGAGGTAAGTTTTTTCAAAAATATAATTAAGATGCCCTTTTTAATTTTTATTAATTGTTTAAAAAAATGTATATATTTAATTCCAGAGGAGAAATGAAAACAATGTGAATTAATAAAAAGTAATTTAATGTTTCTTTGTGTTATTTTTCATTATGTGAATAATGTAAATAAACACGCCATTTTAAAGTACTACTTGTTTGACATTTTACTTTCTTGTTATCTTTCTTTCTTTTCTTTCATTATTGATTTATAAACAAGATTACGATTTTAAATCTTTGATTGAAATAATCCTCAAAAAATGAATATGTTATGCAAAAGAAAATTATAATAACACAAATTTATAGGTTACATGCAGTTAAATATTATACATTTTATTCTTAAATTTAATATTTAAAAATTTTGTGTAAGTTTTGGAGTAACTCTTTTAAT